GAGGAGGAGGACGGGAAGGAGGAGAAGGAGGAGGAGGAGGAGGAGGTGACGAGGAGGAGCTCAAGGAGGAGGAGGAGGAGGAGGTCACTTTTTGTGAGAATGATTTCCAGTCCTCAGCTAACTGCAGGGTGTTCAGTAGTCAAAATATTTCTGGCAGCTGATTATCTTATGTAGCGCAACTTACATCACATGCTATAGAGTATTATAGAGAGATGGATGAATCAAAGTTTCCAAGGAACAGCAGTGCTTCTGTGGAAGTTTATTACTCTCATAGTCTGTCTGCAGACTCATAGTCTGTCTGCAGACAGTCAATAAGTTCAGAGAACTGTTCATGCCAGAGGGCAAGGAGTCGGATGCCTACCTCTCGAATACTGCTGCAACCGTCGGAGCAAGCGATGGGTCATCCACAATGTGCTGAAAGATATCCGAACAGTCGCTTACCCCTGGGAACCCCACTGGGATGCTGCACAGCCCCACAGGGACAAAATTGGAAGGCAATTCATCACTCAGGATTGTTGCGTATTTCATGCTCTAGAACAAAGGGCACAGGTGTAAATAAGAGAAGTCCGATTGAACCTCACCCCTCCTGCTGCACAGGAGGGAATGAGGAGGGAAGACAGACAGACAGACAGACAGAAGGATGGACACAGAGACAGACAGACAGACAGACAGACAGACAGAAGGATGGACAGAGAGACAGCCGCGGAGATGAACAGGTGTACAGGCAGATGAGCAGGCGGGCAGACAGATAGACTGGCAGATGAGCAGGCGGGCAGACAGATAGACTGGCATATGAACAGGCGCGGAGATGAACAGGCATGCAGGCGGATGAGCAGGCTGGCAGCCAGACAAACAGACTGACAGATAGACGTACTGACGGACAGACGGGTAGACGGACGGGCAGATGGGCAATGGGCAATGGGCATAAGGACAAGGTAACTGGGTGATGAATGGATAGAGAAACAGACCAACAGTCTGAGAGAGAAAGGATGGACCAAACAATCGGCAATAGACGAATGGCAGACTGACAGAGAAAGGTCTTATCTTTTTTTATAATTTTAGATTTGGCATGTGGAAGGCCTTTTTCAGTGTGAAATATTGACCGTTTATAACCAAAAAAAAAAAAAAAGTGGCACTGAATCCTGGCAGGGTTAATGGAATGTAAAAGTACAGTCATTCAGTGGGGTTCATTGGGCAACTGCCGTCCTCCCAAAAGAACAACACACCGTGATTATGAATGTATACAAGCTATCTTTACGGTCGGATACAGTCATGAGGAGGATGAATTGTGTTCCGGAGACGACCGTAGTCTAGCAAAAACTTGGAACTGTGTCATCCAAAAAAAAGCATCACGTTAATGCAACTTTGCCACCTTAGTGGTGGCTGTCAGTGACTCCCTCCCAACCCCCCTCAACACCCCCCCCCCCCCCCACCCCCCTCGCCCCCCCCCTCCCGCCCCCTCTTGGTGGCATCAGAAGGCCTTAAAGTTTTCTCTGATATCACTTATGAACTCGGGAATAAATGAGATGTAAAGGCTACCAGAGTGGCCCGGGTCCACTTGCCCGGCCGGGCCAAAAAGAAATAAAAAAATAAAAAAATAACAATCACTTTTTAAATTTAAATTGTTATTTTAAATTTGGTAAAGAATTTCGATGTGACCCTGAGGCAAAAGTTGTTCAGTTTATTTTTCTGCATAACATGTTTTTTTTTCGGATTAATAGTCCTTGCACGGCCCGGCCGCCCGGGAAAATAGGGTGACCCGGGCGGCCCGGCTGGTAGCCTAGATGTAAAGAGATTAGAACAAAAAAAAAAAAAAAGATCAAAAGTTAGAAGTTAGAAGGCATTTTCGCTACTGTGTGACATCAGCAGAAGGCCTTGGAAGTTAGCACTCTTTTGAATTTTGAACAGGTCCTTGGGGACATCCGTCAAAAATGGAACGATACAGAGAAGATTAGCATGTGGCGCCTGCGCAAGGATGACATGCATAAATCCAGAAATGTCTGAAATGGTCCAAACTAAACATTTTTTTTCAAAGAGACGTACTCGTTTGGACGGGTAGTTGTCATCGTGAGGCGGCAAGAGATATAGACAAGCATTAGTAATTTAGTTAAATTTACTAATTTGTTAGTCTAGATGAGTGACTACTTGCATCCTATGTATATACTATATAGTATATAGCCAAGTACCAGATAGACAATCAGTAGTGAGTTGTTACTATAGTTAGCCTTAGTGAGAGTACTAACTACTGCTAACAGTGCTAAGTATTATTGACAAATAGCAGTCATCTTGAGATGATGACAAGCGATCGACAAGTAGCTGTAATTTACTAATTACTAATTAATTTTTATTTTTCACTTTGTTAAAAGGAACCATGCAAGCAGTCATTTCTTAGTCGAAATAAACATTCAATTTGAGTTTCCAAACGACGACGCAGTAATTTTGTTAGTCTAAGGGTATACTACTATACTCACAATAGGCTCTCAAAATCACAGAATAGCAAGAAATGAGAGGCCACATCGAGTTCTTCGATATTAGGAGGACGGGATCTGGCCGCTGATTTTGGGAGTCTGCGATTTAGAGAGTCCATCAACATTTCCATTTCGGACCGTCACAGAAAAAAAAAAAAAAAAA